CTGGGCTTGATGGAGTCAGCTGGCGCAGTACAGTAGTCAAGACATCGCCCTACAGTCAAGATTTCTTCTTCGGATGGGCACTAGTGCTGGAGGGGCTGGGGGGGGGCGTTAAGCGGGTATGCAAAGGCACAGGCCGCGATGCCCACTGAGACTGGAAAGAAGACATGACCGAACGGGCGTTGAAGAATTTGGGCGGCACCGTGCGCGTGTGGTGATGTGGGTTGGTCCAGCACTGAGTCCGCCGTCGAGTCTGCGCCGCGCGCGTGCGTGCAAAGGTGTGTGTGTGGCATCCTGTCTGACAGGTCTGGTCTGTGAACAATGACTGTTGGCTCTGAGGGTCACGCCTTGTGTGACTCGAGCAGGATTTGTTAGAGGAGGGGCCACCGACCAACAGACCAAGTCAATTGGCCGCATATCGACCTCGGAAATGGCAATGAGCTTCAGATGTCGATTCTAACCCTGTTCGATCGAGTGTGACCCGAGGGTTTGGGACCGATGGACCAGATCCTCCAGCCCCCGGCCCCCTTTGCATAGCAGTTGGTCTGGGCCTGCGTGAGTTTGAGTGTGTGTGTGTGTTGTGTTTGCTCACCGCGACTGGCGGCTGGCGGTATGGGTAGTAGGTGAGGAGGAGGGGGTGACCACTTCTTCCGTCCCGGAGTGTCCTTGGACCATTCTCGTCCTCGCCTCGGGCAAGTCGTTCTCTCCCCAAGGGAGAAAGGGGGTCCTTTGTTGCTAGGTAAGGTAGGTCAGTCTGTCAGCCCTGCCGCTGCCGCTGCCGCTACCCAGCCTTCTGCCAGTCTCACAGTTAACGACGGTGGCTACAACAGCCCGGCCGTCAAGTGGTGTAACGGTGTTCATAATGGCGCGGGAGAAGGAGCCGTTGTGCCGCGGCTTCATCCCTGGTGGACGGCCGGGCCCAGCTTGGATCAGATCCAAACAGTGGAAACACTTGTCAAGTCGATTCGCGTAGGCACAGCAGCAACCTATGGACGGTCGCAAGCTAATGGGGAAGAGCTGATGTGGAGCCCGTCTGGGAAGATCAGCGAAATGCGGGGCATTCCGTGTGGTCTACTGGCCGTAAGCCGCGGGAAGTCCACGAGCCGTCATGTTCCGTCGTCAATGGGAGTCGTCATGCGCAGAAGCAACGAAGGCTTGAATCATGCCCGACAACCCTCTCTGCCACTCGGCCTTCCCTACAGCGCCAGGCGTCAGCGTCAGCGCTGGTGTCAAGTGTCGGCGTCAGACGACAGGGATGTGAGGAGCAACATGGGGCCATACTTCCCTTACCTTACCGTAAGCTCTGGCCCTTGACCCCTGTTTTGCCCAGCAAGCCCAGACACTGCATTCTTCTCCACAACGGCTGGGTGAAGCGACTGCAACAGGGCGATCGAGGAGGAGGATGACAGGGTTCGCCCAAGACCTCCAAGACGCCTGATCGCTTCGTTAGCGTTCGCACATCGTCACAGCTCCCTTTGCTTTTGCCTTTGCTTTCGCTTTCGCCGTCGCCTGGTCCTACTCCAGATGCCTCTTGCCCTCCTTCGTACCATCCTTGCTCAAAACACAGATGTACATATCGGCCCATGTAGAGCAGCTCTGTTCCAAAAGCGTCACTGACCTGGCAGCAAGCGTCATGGCCCAACCCTTCGTCAAAAGCATGCCACATGTGCGGACAGACATTGGTTCGGGGCGATTGGGCCCAACGAGAGAGGGGCGGAAACCAGGATCCGCACAATCCTCTCAACGCGTCCCCTCATCCTCTCCTCGTACCTTCTGCATCTCGCACAGGATGCCTCGGCGATGGGATCGACTTTTTTGGTCCTGTTTTAGCATCCTTCTGATAGACTTGTGGCTGATGTGACAATACCACGCTAAGGCGGTCAACAGCGAAGCCAGTGAATCCCAAGACCCTACACGCCTTGGCGACGTGCCCAGAAATCAACCAGTCGCGTCTTTCAACATACTCGCACTCGATCGTGTGACCGGGTGCCTGACCCTTCTGTGTGACTACCTAGACTGTGTCACGCTGCAGAGCGCGCTGTAGAATCCACGTACGCGATCGCTCCACAAACACACACGCCCGACCACCTCTAAGGAACAAGGGAAATAAACACAGTGCCATGCACTGGTCAACCTCGTCCGGCCTCGCCGTGCCGCATGAGCCTGGCCTGATCTGGCCCAATCGGGGCAGGTGCCTGAGCAACTGGTATGGGCTCATTGTTCTCATGAATTGCTTCTGCGCCTCTTAAGACGTGGTCGTTGCCAAGCATCACGCCGCCTACTACTGTAGCTCACAAAAGTCCGAAACCTAGAGCACAGGAGCAAGCCTGGTCGGACTCCCATGCAGGGTAGGGCAGAGCTACCGCGGTCAAGGGTGCCTCG